AAAGCAGGAACCAACATGTAAAGTAGGAACCAACATGTAAAGCAGGAACATAAAGCAGGAACATAAAGCAGGAACCAGCATGTAAAGTAGGAACCAACATGTAAAGCAGGAACCAACATGTAAAGCAGCAACACTTGAGTTAAACCAGCTGCTACCTTGACGCAGTCGACGGGGTACATAAGGCAGTGCTCCATGGTTCCAGCCACGGCTCCTGCCAGCATGTGTGTCCCGGTGGCGGCACCTTGAGGAAGCCCTTCGTAGTCTATTTCTGGATCCGCAGAGGTCGAGGGCTCCGCAGCTGTCCGGTGCGACACCGAGACATAGTCCCGCTTTCCTGTCATTCTCGACGGAAAAGACCCGACTAATTCCCCCGTAGCATCAATGAGCCTGCCGCCCAGAATCCCAAACCCCGTCCCGGCTGCAGAGCCCGTCATTCGCCTGTCGACGACCCGTGAATCCAGGGTACTCCGCGGCGACACGAAACCGTCCGCCTCCATTCAGACGAAAGGATTCGGGCCTTCAGATTAGTTTGAACCGAAACACCGGCGGGCCGCCTCGGGGTGACCGTGTAACACTCCAGGCTGTACACCGTCTCGCCCCGCCGGTGGAGGAGAGTGTTGGCGGCAACTAAACTGCGAGATTTAGGTGGGGGGGAGGGGGGAAAAGGAGCACTGCTAAAAATATGATTCGATAAACTTGCTGTCAATCTTTCAAACTTCAATTCTATTGGACAATTTAGAAAAGAAGGCGGGCTCTAGTCGAAGTGGGCGTTGATGATTTTGTAACACCGGGATGTCCGGTCTTTCTCAGATCAGGGAGGTGTAGACATGGAGGCCCATATCCGGATTTCTGAATAAAAAAGTAACAACTGAGTGAAAATAATAAGTTAGTTATATGTTTCTGTGAATTCCCAGTCATCCAAGACATGTCACATCCAACAAACAAACATTAAAGAAACAACTTTGCAGATCTAAAAAAGTTAAATCTGGTCCTCTGGACATTCAAAAAAACAAAACAAAGCAAAACAACAAAAAATGTAGAAACGTTTCGTCTCTCATCCTGAGGACTTCCTCAGTCTGAGGTGCTGTTTTCAGCTCAGTCTCTTAAATAGCACCTTCTCAGAGTGGATCAACCAGTTTTGCTGCTGACAACCAAAACCAGCTGATCACATGCTCAAGAAGGACCATCAGCCTAACAATGGATCATTAGCACCTGATGGCTGTTTACTGTTCACAGAGGGCTGAGTGATACTAGCAATCACAGCATTGTAAGAGGGGGACAGTTGAACCCGGAGGCCTCCACCCCTGTTTAACGATGGGCGGTTTCTTTTCACAAAGATGGCCTCCTTTACTCCTCTCTCAAACCATCGTTCCTCTCTGTCCAGGATGTGAACATCTTCATCCTTGAAAGAGTGACCGCTGGCCTGGAGATGAGTGTAGACCGCAGAGTCCTGGCCTGATGATGTTGATCTTCTGTGCTGGTCCATCCTTTTGGCCAGTGGCTGTTT